TTGAGATCTTTATTCTTTGCTTCTATTTTAATTTCAACTGGAGGAAATTCCTTTAAATCCAACTCTATATTATTGGGATTTTCTTTTTTAAATTCCTTATATTCTGCAAATAATTTTCGTTGCATATAACGAATTATTTTTTATTTAAAACATTTGTTCGATTGGTGTAGTATTGCCACTACGACATGTTCTATATTTAAAATCCTTTGCGATCCGTCCAACGTGCTCCTGTCATTGTAAAGGAAAATGAAATTAAGTGACATTTCTCATTATAAACAAGGAAAATGTGACATATACCTCTAAAGATGCCAAATGATGGATCGCAACTCCTGCAAGCCTTGTCAACTACCAGCCTGGTAGTGAGGAATGGCCAGGAACGGTATAAACCGTCGTACTTAAGATCCATAGAGTAAGGTTCCATTAAATCGCCTAATTATCACAGAAAACAAATAAAAAATAAATTCTCATGCAATCTCTCTTATTCTCTCAAATCTCTCACCTACCCATGTTTAAGAATATTACGGCCTCGCCCGGACCACCCTTACTTTGTAATTGTTGATTAATGGATTTTCGGGCCTTTAACTTCACCTTCAGTCTGTCCTTCATTCGTTGTAGTGGTGCACTTCCCAAAGGTTTAAATTCCGAATTCAATATCGGTACACCATTTATCACACATGAAAGGTCCGGTCTTTTTTTAGAACCTGCATTAGAACGGTTTAATACTAAATCGTATTCTTTTTCATCACCGACGAAAAATGGACGAGCAATTGGATAGACAAAATGTAAACATCGGACAATTTTAACGGAGCAATCTTCATAGCACTGTCATATCTACGACGTAAAAAAATTATATAAGTACAATCTCATGTATATATTATAAAATTACATTACCTACAAGTCATTAAACGATCGTGCAACTAGTCTACTTAGTTTCGACTTTCCACCTTCCATAAATGCGTCCATGCCGAGAAAATGGTTAAACGATGCTTCATTAAGAGATGACAAAATTTCTGGTGAAAGTAAGGATTCTTGAACAGTATAAAGATTATTTTTTATAACTTCCTTTCACTCTTGAATTGTAAAAAAGGAGGGATACGAACATGGCCAGGAGAGGACAATAATCGATGATAAAGCCCTAAGTATAATAAGAAAAAAGATGCTCAATAAAATCGTTCAGTCAATGTTACATATTTCGGAATACATACAAGAGTTCATATATATTATCGTATTTCAACCCTTTTATTTCCGCCTTCTTAATAATCTCTTTCTGGTACTGCCGAACCCGATCGGTTACATTGATGTGGCCAACTTCCCACTAAAACAGAAGCAAACTGTAAGGTACATGTAGTAAAAGAATCAAAATTTAAATATGTGTCATACTTTGACTTCCGGTTCACGTTGTAATTCGGTTGAAATCTTGTTAGATCAAATTTAATTTCCATATCGTCCTCATCATGTTCTTTGTTGCTCTCATCAGAGAGAAGAGACTCGGAGGAAGACCTTCCGTTTCCTGGTTGAAGATCACTTTTCACGCTCTTTCTTGCCTAAAGTAAATTTCAAGTTTGTAAGAGAACTATCATTCAATATAGACGCGTATGATTGGTTTTGACTTGTAGCTTGAGCAATCCCTTTAATCTGTTGTATTCAATCATAAGATAAAAATTATGAACAATTCATTTCAAATGTTTATACGGTTAAGTTAATTACCTGAAGAATTTCCAAATTCATTCTTTCTTTATCTATCTGAAGAGCGCACATCTTGTTTTCAATGGTAAGCCAAAGTTTATCTATATCGTTGCCTTTTTTCCGTTGATCCTAACAAACATTAAAAAAATTTATTAGTTTGATCTTAATGAACATCTGCGAATCAATAGCAACAAGTGCTACATCAAGCCACAGCAAGCTAAAAGCCCATCGGAATAACAGCTAAAAGCCACAATTCCTAGCCATGGATGTCTAACAGACATTTAGAATTTCTACTCACTGATAAAAACCAGAGACTACAACGAGCTAAAAGCCCATCAGAGGAATAGCTAAAAGCCACGCTTCCTTGTTGTAGATGAAACATTGAATTATGCCCGTAAACTGCCAATGATTTGTTTCATATAGAAACTCTTATTATGACGTAGCATTCAAAAAATATACTAAAAGTAACTTGCTTTAATAACATCCAAAAGGCTCTTTGCTTTCGTAACTTTTTTATCGTCCGAGTATTTATTAACAATCACACGGAGACTTTTGGCGAGTGCGTCAGACTTATCGTAAGCTAGGTTTACCGGATTCCTTTCATTATCACGGATCCACTTTATATGAAATGCAAAACATCCCAATCTTCTACATCGGTTTCATCAAAATAGGCATAGCATGAGTTCATGGTAACGAAAAGAAATTTTATAATTTTCTGCGCCGGTAATCAATCTGATAATCTAACATTTAGCGTCACATAGTCACATGATTTCCGCATTGCGTTTTTTACCATAAAAAATAACCGAGGGCAGTGTTGTCACGGGATACAGATGGGGACATATTGGGACATATAGTTGGGATATATAGTTGGGGACAACAAATATCTGGGACATCAAAAATGTACATCATTGGCCGAGAGTCCCCATAAAATGGTCACACCATTGATGATCACATGATAACTTCCTTGTATATGTCACAATATACATATTAATAGCTACCTTCGCAAAGGTGAGTTTGTTGTATTTAATCTCAGTAGGCCGGAAGATGATCCCTTGCAATCCGCTTAAGGTTTGACACACCATTGAACCTGCAGAAAGAGATAAAAGTAAGGCAAAAGCACAAGAAAAAAAAGTACTCAAGTTAATTCATGATTTTTCCTAATATTTATCTCTTAAATGAATAGAATTGGAATGGAAGAATTCTTGATTTATATTGATTCTCAGAAAGCTCATGATTTAGAGCAAAATCTTGCCTTACAGAAGCTATATTATTGCCCTAAAGGTCTTTACCAAAATACTAAAGGATTGTGAAATGCTTATAAGAAAGCCAGCTATACTTTTCTATTTAATGATATACAAAAATAGCTTGATAATCAAGCAATATATCAAATCTATTGAAACATATACCTTTTTTAGCTACTCTAAAATTACGAAACCAAATACTGTACATCAGTATAATTTAATTGAAATACCATATGATGAAGATGCGAATATAAATTTATTAAATGACAGCCCAATATTTTACTATGTATTACTAGTTATAGACTACTTGACTAGATATAAAGATTTCATTTTTTTAACATCAAAAAATAGTGAAGAAGTTGCAGAAGCCTTTTAAGAGTATTATAATAATTTTAACAAACCCCTTAACTGGTCTCAAAAATTACAATGTGATAAGGATACTAAGTTTATGAGATACGTGACTTTATTAATAGGTGTGTTACCCTTGAAATTAGATCTGCAAAATTGATCTACAGATGATCTACAGTCAATCAAATTAGTACTACAAAATCG